CCTTGCTATGCCAAATATAAAGATCATCTAACAAAACATCCCAGTTCTCACAAACAGCAAATATTTCCAGGTTGTCCAAAAGCAGAATGTGTAGGTCAACTGCCTTCTCTCACTACCCACACATGCAACTTTTAATCCTGAACATAAGTATATGTGGCTAATAATCACTGAGAGGTGAATTTTTCATATATTTGTTATCGTCCACTTTGAAAACCCTCCCAGCTTGTTACATGGCTTACCTCACTTCCATAAACAACTGCACAATATATGAAGAAGGACTTTCCTATTAGACTATTTCTTTTTCAAAGCATACATCCATTGCATAGAATCTCCCAATTAATTAATATGAAGGCTTATTACCTCATCATGGAACATGGATTCAATGACAAGGCCCCAGAGGTCTATAAAGGAAGTGCTATGTCCTTCTTTGATTCTTTGACTTAGCTCATCATAATAATACTTCAGTTTATCAATGGAAAAACAGTTAAATTTAGATTTGGTCACTTGTCTTCTGGCTTTGTTAATAGCATCTTCCAGGTATTTCTGTGACCAGTCAGGATCTTCATATAATTTACACATGGTCCTAAGTTTTGATTGAAAATAATAATAATAAAATGTAAGAGTAGCACAGAACTAACAGCATAGTAACCTTACTTTCAGAGACAGTGACACTATTGCTAGGTTTAAATATAATTTGGACTACAATAATATTAATAATAATATACAATAATATCCCCCTGCTTTTTTTCCTCAAGAGGGCTTTCTGAGAAATGGGGACAGTGATCCAGGTTTTCCCACATGGAGGGGGCAGAATTCAAAATATAGTATCTGAAATGCCACATAACATTGTCCCATGAATGTCATAGTACTTTTTATTTAAGTTGATAATGGTAATTATTGGGCCATTAACTTGAATGGGGAAAAAAACAAGGACGTGAAAACCATCATTAAGAGAGGATGCAGTGAGAAATAGGTGGTTGGTTCTCTACTGAATATTTTGCCCCTAAGAATATTCTCCAGTTTTACACTGAGCATCGTGTAGCACATTCATCTCAACCACAAACTGTTGTTAACTGTAACTCTAATTAGTAAAAAAAAAAAAAGTTTAATTCCAATGGAATGTTCTTTATGAAGTTGTAAATGTCTATCATTGTTCATTTGAAAAATACCGTAGGTTAAAACTTAATTACATTTCTTTTAAAATAATTTTAAAGTAAAAATGGTATATATGTTTCTTGCCCAAACCCATCCCAGTTAAATCATTAGTTTTATTCAAGGGAAAGGTGGAGGTTATATAAATGCATTTGTTATTTAGGAGGTTGTGATATGCAAAGTTTTTAATAATCCTTGTCTTGCTTATTGTTTCCTGCAATATTGGAATGCCACATACACTATATAATGGGCAGGTCATGAAAGATAGTAAATGAAAAGAAAATCCTCCTTACCATGTTGTGCCAGATAAACCCGTAAGGTATGTAATACAATCTAATAGATTCAATTTCTGCAAACCCAGAAGGCTTCCATACATTGCTGTAAAGGATCTGGTTCCACCACCAGTTGTCATTATTGCGATTACTGGTACCTATTTAGCACAAAAGGTCAGAGTGAGATAAATAGTAAGCTGCTAGTCATTGCTCCAAGAGGGAAAAAAAATCTTAAAATTGAGAAGGTTGAGCAGATGTACCATAGGCAAGTTCTAATTGTAGGCATTGACAGAAATTATACAGGCAAATGGTCTTGTATTTTTTTCTATCAGTTCTCATTCAAGTTGATAAAAGAAATGTTACTTTAAGATTTATTTGAAAGGAAAATAAATGCTTGTACGTTGGAGAATGCTTGTGAATGGAGCGTGGTGTTCCTCCTACCTACTTAATTATGAGGTTGCATAGGGTGTATGTGAATGTCGTATTCTTCATTGAACAATCATCTCTCCAGCAGTCTCTACACTGCTTGGCAGCTTCCTTAGCTTCCCACATTTCAATTAGGACCAAAGGCGAGACATCCAGAAAGAATTTGTGTTATGAAGCTTTTTCAGTGATAGTACTACAGTTAACAACACAGTTGGTAAGCGTGACATCACATGACCCATGACTTGTGATTTTTACTGCTAGATTCTCCATTGACTTTGTTTCTCAGAAGTCAGATGTAAAGCAAATGATGAACATGTGGCCATGGGACACAGCAATGGGCATAAATGTCCACCAGTTGTAAAGCAACCAAATCGCAATCATGTGACCACGGGGACTTTGCAATAGTCATGTGAAGCCCAATGGTGAAGTTACTTTTCAGTGACTTTGTATCTTCAAATGGTCACTGAAAAGGGAAGGGGATTGCTTGCCTAACAAAACAAGGTGTCCTGCCCTGGAGAAACTGTTGCAGAGGTTCTCCTTTCTCTGTAGACATTCCGAGAAATTGTCTACCCAATTCACCTAATCTTGACACCATTTGTACCCAGCTGTAAAAATAAGTTGATATTCAAATTATGCTTTTAGCAGCCAGGGTGATCAGCTTATTTTCTTCCAGTTGAAAGTATAAATTCTTCCTTCTTACTGGCACCTCTCCTTTATTTACTTCTCTCTACGCACCCATTAATGTTGGCATTGTTGAGCCTACAGAAGGGTGGTTTTTGCTGTTAATGGCAATTTGCCCCAGAATATATTACACTCATTCATAAATGGAATTAGCAATTTGCTCTAAAGTTTTTGGGGCAATAAAACAAAGTGGGTATGTCCCGGCTTGACCTACCTCATCATCCTTCAGTTCTTTTTGTGGCTGAAGAGTCTTCTTGAGGGCAGCTGCCACATATTTCTTTCTCTTTCTTAGGAAATCTTGTTCTTTTGCGCACAAACCATACCCTAAGCGCTCGTCTAGGTCTTTAGGCCTGAAATATAATAATTCACATTTTGCAATCCGTCCTCTATTAACATATCAACTACAGTAACTAAATAGTCTTTACATTATCCTTCTGTTTATTTACAGAAGTATAACCACAATAGCTGGTTGCATAAGAATGGATAGCAATGGATTTTGTAGTGACTTAAATATTAATATTAATTAATATTAATATTAATTGCTTAACGTTTTGTTACCAAAGTGCCTGGAGTTTATCCTGACAGATGAATATTACATATACATTATGTATATCGATTGAAAGCTAGCCAGAGATGATTGGAAGGAAGGAAGGAAGGAAGGAAGGAAGGAAGGAAGGAAGGAAGGAAGGAAGGAAGGAAGAAAGAACGAAAGGAAGGAAGGAAGGAAGGAAGGAAGGAAGGAAAGAAAGAAAGAAAGAAAGAAAGAAAGAAAGAAAGAAAGAAAGAAAGAAAGAAAGAAAGAAAGAAAGAAAGAAAGAAAGAAAGAAAGAAAGTAGANAAGGAAGGAAGGAAGGAAGGAAGGAAGGAAGGAAGGAAGGAAGGAAGGAAGAAAGAACGAAAGGAAGGAAGGAAGGAAGGAAGGAAGGAAGGAAAGAAAGAAAGAAAGAAAGAAAGAAAGAAAGAAAGAAAGAAAGAAAGAAAGAAAGAAAGAAAGAAAGAAAGAAAGAAAGAAAGAAAGAAAGTCCAGTGTTTTGGAACAGCAAAAAAGAGATAGTAGGATGAGATGGCAGAGGGATAAGCCAATCTCAGATGTTTTTACCTTTATGGCAAAATGGTTTTACCTTTACTATTAAGCAGACATTTTAAGAATTCCTAACTAGAATGCACAAAGAAGTAGAATCTGTTTTAGATATTATTATATTACTATAGCCTCTATAGTCTCCACTTCTACAATATTTTCAAAGCAACAGATTGGGATGGGAGCTAAATATATAGGACTTCCATATCTCCTGGAATAACAGAGTGTAACAACAGCAGGAAGTTTAAATGTTTATCATCAGTCAATTTAGTAAAAATAAATAAATAGAAGAGGATCTGGAACTCCTAATAATGTTCCAAAATAGGTAATAAAGCAGTCATCAATTCTGCAGAATTCTTCCCAAAAATCAATGAAAAAGGCCAGAGGAATTTACCTCTGGCTTTCAGAAGGAGATGGACAGGTATAACAATCATTCAGTTGTAGGAAAGTAGAGTATGTGTGAGGGAGACTCAGAAGAGTCCTGCCTTATCCTTGTCTTAAAAAGGGACAGTGAAGTTTTGGACAGAATCTGTTAATACGTCTCATGACAATAAAGAACTTTCCTGAAATCTCCAGAATGTCTTTTTCTTGACCTGGCCTATTTTGAAGAGCTAAAGGAAATTGAGATTTGTCCGGTCAATGTCCAAAGGTTACTGAGCAATCAAATAGGAGTTTGCTCATGATGTTACAGGATGAAGAGTCAGGAAAGAAAGGGAAATGAAGTTGTGTGATGTGTTCAGGTATGGGGGAAGGAAGCTCATCTCCTTAACAATGGCTGATTACAAAGACTGTACCCTGAAAAATGTCGATTGCTCACCATGAATGAGTCAGTGGCTATTTCTTGCTAAGAAACAAAGGTTGTAAATATAAAGCATCCAATTTTCAGAAAGTATGGTCACTGAATGAACAGAGAAATCTAAAAAGTATTTCTCACTTGGATCTAGCAGACGGAGTTCAAGGGCAATCTTTAACAGGTATTCTTCTTAAGGCAAAGCTTAGTAAAATGAGAATATGAAAAGGGGAAAAAGAAATAAAACCTTAGACTGATGGCTCTTTAAGAAACAGTGATGAAATTGAATGAAGTCTCTGAACTTATGTTTATGTTCTGATTTAAAACAAGGGCTTCAGAAAAAGATCTGAAGAAGCAAGAGACTGTATTTCAGCACATATGGGAGGATGAAGATTTATCCAATAAAGCGAAAAAAGTTTCCTAAAGAAAAAGACAATTGAGCTTATAGAGGAAGTAATTCTCTATTACTTCCTCTACACAAGGAGGAAGATCAATCAAAATCACAAAACAGAATCACAATCAAGGGG